AAAATTAGCAGAGAACTGAATGGGAAGTGAAGCAGCCAGGACTCCCAGCTGATGCCCATGTGGCATGTTGGCACACAACATGAACCAAGAGAAACTCACTCCTGGGCCCAGCAGCGTGGCCTAGCGGGTAAAGTCCTCGCCTTGAACGCACTGGGATCTCGTATGAGCACTGGTTCTAATCCCGGCAGCTCCACTTCACATCCAGCTCCCTGCCTGTGGCCTGGGAAAGCAGTAGAGTATGGCCCAAAGCCCTGGGACCCTGCACCCGTGTGGAAGACCCAGAAGAAGTTCCTGGCTCCTGGCTTCAGACTGGCATAGCATCGGCTGTTGCGCTCACTTGGGGAGTGAGTGAATCATCGGACGGAAGATCTTCCTCTCTCTCTCTCTCTCCTCTCTGTATATCTGACTTTCCAATAAATAAATAAATCTTAATCAAAAAGAAAGAAAGAAAGAAACTCTCACTCCTGGCTTCAGCCTGGCTCTTTTGGCCACTTGGCGAGTGAACCAGCAAGTGGAAGATCTCTTCTGTGTAAATCTGCCTTTCAAATAGATAAAGTAAGTTTTAAAAGTAAAGACAAATCAGCCCACGTGTTCCCATCACCTGGCCTCCATAACCTGTCTGCTTTTTTTTTCCCCCCTAGTTTCAAATATTGCTGTTCCTGTGAGAGGGCGGGAGGGAGCTTGTCGCTGTGCTGTCCTCAGAGCTGACCTCGGCCTCCCTGCTGTACAGCCACACTGTGCTCCCAGCTGTCCCATTTTGTAGATGAGGAAAGTGACAGGTCACCGTGGGTGACATCCTGAGCCATGTCCAGCTTCTTCCCCCAAGGTGGAGAGGCCTCCCCCCTGTCCAGAGGCCAGGGGACTGAGGCCCACAACTGCAGATGACAGGAAGGAGGTCTCAGGAGGACAGGCTTGGCGTGCTGGGGAGCCATCTCAGGACTGGGGAGGGCTGAGGCAGACTCATGCCACCCCCACCTCCACCTCTCTATGTAGGCAGGCCTCCAGGCACTGGGCCTCTGACCTGCCAGGTGGCCAGCCTCCAGCCTGGGCCGCTTGGCCCCCACCCCATCTTGCAGCCACAGCTGCAGGGCCTCAGCCACTCCCCACTCGCTGCCTCTCATTTCCTGTCACGGGGTGGGCAGGCGGGCCTCCTGTTGCCCAGCCAGCTTCAGATGGCCTGAGAATCATCGCTCTTCCAGGGCCTGTCGTGAAATCGTTGCAAGTTTCTTAACAACAGCTGTGGCCACACATGACCCAGGCTGCTCCACCCCAAAATCACAGGAGGGGACACAGCACTTAACACGCAGCAAATTTTATATCATCTTTCTTTTTGTTTGTTTGTTTATTTTTATTACAAAGTCAGATATACAGAGAGGAAGATCTTCCGTCTGATGATTTACTCCTCAAGTACCACAACAGCCAGAGCTGAGCCAATCCAAAGCCAGGAGCCTGGAGCTCTTCAGGGTCTCCCACACGCAGGTGCAGGGTCCCAAGGCTTTGGGCCGTCCTCAACTGCTTTCCCAGGCCACAGGCAGGGAGCTGGATGGGAAGCAGGGCTGCCGGGATTAGAACTGGTGTTCATGTGGGACCCCAGCACCTTTAAGGTGAGGACTTTAGCCGCTAAGCTACCACACCTGGCCTCTGTCACCTTTCTAAAGGGGCAAAGGTGTGCTGGAGAAGCCAGTCGCCCACCCTTCGTATGAGGGTCTGCCGGTTGGCATGCAGGCAGCCAGTCCTGGTGGCCACCAGCAGAGCAGAGGCTCCAGCTGGCTCCAGCAGCTCCAGTGCCATGGCCTTGGGGTTCAGAGGCCTCGGCGGACGGTCACGGAAACCTGGTGGCCGTGTTCTCCTCCTTCCTGCTTAACCATTGGGCGTTTCTCTTCCTTCTTTTCTCCTTCCAGACCCTCTGCAAGGCCTCAGCTGTGGGCTGAGGGACACGTTAAGGGGCTAGTTTTTGTCCTTAACTGAAACCTGACTGTTGGTCGTGGGGTCCAACTGAGGCCCGGTCCTCCCTGCTCAGCCCTGCTGGAGTCTCATCTGACAGAACTTTCTGTTCTCCTCAAAGGGGCTCAGCGACCAGAAGTAAGCCCTCTGACCCTGGTGAGGTGACATTTTTCAGTGTGTGTGGGAATCAGATCTCTGGTTTTTTAAAGGAGAAGGTCTCCGAAGAGCAAATTCCATAAGCCTTCATCACATTCGAGGAACTCGGAGACCTCGTGAGAAAAAACAGCAGCAGCAGGCGGCCTGAAGGGCTTGCTTCCGCCCTGTGGTCAGGCAGCCGGGACCTTTGCCTCAGTGGTCCACCCTGGTCTGCAGCTTAGATTGCTGGTTCAACTCATGACGTTCATGGGGCTCCCGGAGCACCCCCACTCTGCTGGCTTCTGTCCCAGAGGTCAAGTGTTAAGGAGAGATGATAGTCAAGTAAGTTGTTGTGAGGGACGACCTGAGCCCAAGAAAGTACAAGCTGCTTCCTGAGAATGGCCTGGAAGTGGCCCCCCTCTGCTTGCTTGTCTGAGTGTTCTGGGTGGGCTTTGCCTTGTGCTAAGGAGAGGGGCTGTCAGGACCCTGTGTCTCAGGGCGGGCCACGTGCAGACTTTGCTGCCCCGAAGTCAACCTTCCTCTTCCCGGCCCCTCACGACTGCGAAGTTGAGGATGCCAGAGCCACTTTTAGGGAGCACTGGGCACCTACCTTGTCGGGGCAGCTGCCAATGCCCACTGCCCCATGTGAAATTCAGCCTGGGCAGAGGACAGTCATTGTTGGATGGGCTCAGCATGCCCTTCTGGGCCTTTTCCTATCGTTGCCATTTCCAGCAGCTGCGGTGTGTCCAGCTTTTCTGAACCACGGTCACACTTCCTGGGTGTGGTGAGACAGGATGCCTGGCATGTTCGCTGATGGAGCCCACTTCCAGGAGGGATTCATCCATCACCAAGAGGCCGTGAGGGGCCAGAGGGGCCAGGCTTCACATTTAACCTCAGGATCAAACATTGGGATATAGTGGATACAGCCACTGTCTGAGGCACCAGCATCCCATATGAGCATTTGTTGGAGTCCCAGCGGTTTCACTTTGATCCAGCTCCCTGCTGGTGGATCTGGGAAAGCAGGAAGATGGTCCAAGTCCTTGAGGACTTATACCTACATTGGAGACTCAGAAGGAGCCCCTGGCTTTGGACCTGCCCAGCCCCCGCCATTGAAACCCTTTCTGTTTTTAGATGAATACATTTTTAAAACCCCGCCCCAAAATCAGTCCTAATCATGCCTAAGGAGAGGCAGAGAAAGCTTCTGACTTACTCCCCAGTAGCTGTGATGCCACAGATCTGGGCCAGCTGAAGCCAGGAGTCAGGCCCCTATGTGGCAAGGGCCCAAAGCACGTGGGCCATTTTCAGCTGTTTTCCATCTGCAGTGCAGTGCTGGGCAGCAGCTTCCTGTCCCTAGCATGTGGAAGCACCCTCCATCCCAGCACTCTGAATGACTAACTGGGGATCCCCTGCAGACCATCGCCCTGCTCAGCCCCCACGCTGGGAGCCCAGGCCCTGAGTGAGCGCTCGAGCTGGACTCCTTCAGGAGCATTTGGGTTTGTCAAGTGAATCTTAGCGCCAAAAATCAGGCAGTGTCACAAGGATCTGGAATCCTGTGCCTCGTGTTTCACTTATGCTGGCACAAACGTCAGGAGAGAGAAACGAGCAAGCTGAAGGTCAGTTTGGAGGTTGTGAAATTACTTCTCATGCAGTGTGTGTGGCCTTTGCAAATGTGCTGCCAGCTCGGCTGGGTTCACGTGGGCCATGTGTTCCCCGGGAGGGCGGAGGCCGCCTCTGCAGCATGGCCAAGGGGGATGCCTACAGCAGTCCGTGGGACTGTGAGAGGTGCCAGGAGGGAGTGTGCCTGTCACTTCACCTCTTCCTGTGCCTGTGCCTTGCTCAGAGCCCCCACTGGACGAGGTCCTACCAAGGACAGGTGTCCATTCTCGAAGCCGGGAGGAGCATAGGTTCAGCAGTCTCTCGGTAGTCTAAAGCCCCCAGTCTCCTGCGGCTCCACCGTAAGATTTTTCCACCTCCCAGGCAAGAGGAGCACCCTCATCCCTCCTGTGTGACCTTCTGTCTCAGTGCCACTTATGGGTGAAATTCCTGACAGCAGCCACTGAGGGTCATGGGCAGCCAGCTGGCCTGTCTGGGCTGGCACAAGCGCCAGCAGCTGGAGCCGGGGCTGCCGCAGCACAAGGCCAAGGCCCTGTTTCCACATCTCACAAGGTCCTTGGGGGTCAGCACATCTGCTGGGAAAATCCAGACTTCGTGAAATAACTGCCAGAAGTACAGAGCTGGCCACATGGACGGGCTCCAGGCCTTGTGTAGAGGGAAACGTGTTTACTTTAAAACTCCTTGCCTGGCTGAAACTCACTCACACCCCCCTCCAACCTCCTCCCTGACTTGACTGTTCTTTGCTCTGGAAGAAGCTACTGGAATTCCCCAGGAGCAGGACCCGCTTCCCATGAGCCTGGGTTGGATGGTTTCCTGCAGTGGCCCTGGTCAGGGCTGCACCCAGAGCCCTGCGGTAGCCCACTGAGGCCATGCTGGCCTCCTGACCTGGTCGGGCAGGAGCTGCTCCACCTGGCTGGCTGGCTGGCTGGCTTGCTTTTCGGTCCCATGAATGTTCTCCCTGTCGTGGTCTGCCACTCTGCCTCTAGGCTCAGGGCTGACTGGAGGTTATCTCCTCCAGCCAAGTGTCCAAGTGTCGCCTGGGCGGGAACAGGCACCTAGACCCTCAGGCTGCTCTGCTTCCCCTCGCTGTGCACTGCCCAGGCCCTGCTCTGCTGTGGCAGGCCATGGGCTGGCTGTGGCTGCTTCCCTGTACTTGACCACGGAGAGCTTCCCCGCCACCGCCCCTCCCCCTGCTTCCCACAGGCGTCCTCATGGGAACGCTGGAGCTGCTGGGGGAAGGCCAGGAGCGTTTCAGCTGGCCCCTCAACCTCTGGCCCCAGCTCATCCTTCCTCTTACTTTTTCCTAGGAGGATGACGAGAAGCTCATTGAGGAAATCCAGAAGGAGGCTGAGGAAGAGCAGAAAAGGAAGAATGGAGGCAAGTGCACCCCTGGCAACAGGCAGGGCAAGGGCAGGGAAGCCCGGACACACTCCAGGCATCTCCCAGACTGAGGAAGGCCTGTGCGGTGCGCATAAACTCAGAAACCAGCTCTGGTCCCTTGGCGAGCAGGCGGGCAGGGGCGTTCCCGTGTGTGGCTGGTGACCGCGGCAGGTGCTTTCCCATGCAAAGCGGGAGTCCCCTCTGAGGAGCCCCTGGCCGTGGACCAGCCTCTCCTACTCCAGGCTCTGCTTAGCTGCCAGCCTTGGCTGGGGGCTAAGGTCAGTGTGTGCAGCCCTGGTCCCAGGCTGGGTCCCAGCAGAGTTGGTCCAACCTGTTTTCCTCAACTGTCACATCTCCCTTTTTCAGAGAACACATTCAAACGCATCGGGCCCCCGCTGGAGAAGCCCCCTGAGAAGGTGCAGAGAATGGAGGCCCTGCCACGGCCCGTCCCGCAGAACCTGCACCAGCCGCATATGCCACCCTACGCCTTCGTGCACCCGCCCTTCCCACTGCCACCCGTCAGGCCCATGTTCAACAACTTCCCACTCAACATGGGACCCATCCCGGCACCCTACGTGCCCCCTCTGCCCAATATGAGGGTCAACTATGACTTTGGCCCCATTCATTTGCCCCTGGAGCACAACCTGCCCATGCACTTTGGTCCCCAGCCACGGCATCGCTTCTGACCCGGAGCTCCCGCCACCACTGGGCAGCCATGGAGTCGGCGGGGGTGGATTTTGGATGGAGAATCCCCCAAGGACTAATGGTTCTGCCCATGCCTTCAGTAGGATGGTGGGGTGGACTCCTTTTATTCCTGCACCTTTTTTGAGATGGGCCCCTGCCCCTCGAGTGGCACCGCGGGCCGGTGCCCTCCGGGTGCCTCAAACAGGACTGCTCTGGCACTTGGAGGACCCAGGAGAAAGAGGCAGCAAAGCCCTCTTCCCCAAGAGCTCCACCATGTTGACAGGCGACACGTGGCCGTGGCTGAGGTAGGCCATTCCTCACACCCCTGCAGGGGGAGATGAGAAAAGCATTGTCCGTTTGCCTGTTCCCCTTTTCCCAGCACGCACAAGGGCAGCCTCACAGAGCTGGACACCACGTAGGCCTTCGTTCCTATAGCGTAGTCCAAACCCTAGTCCAGCGAAGCAACAGGTGACACAAGTCGGGAGAGACCAGCCAAGCAGGACCACCGTTCTGGCCCAGGATGCAGTGCTGGGGTGCAGGGTGTGGGGTTGTTGGCGCTGCCACACGGCCATTCAGGGTCCCCTCTGATCAGCCAGTAATGAAGAACCGTGCCACGTCATCTCTGTCGTTTACCTGAAGAAGTGTCTGTCCTGTTTTTCCACTTGGTCTGGGTTTTCCGTGCCCTGCTAACCTTCCCTTCGGGCTCTGCAGAGTCAGACTAAGAATGTTACCCCATGCCAGGCCTCTCCTGAGGGCTGCCTGGTCCTGCAGCTGTGGCTGGACTGAAGATCCTTAGGAGGTAGCTTCACTCCCCAGCAGGATCCAGGCAGCTCCGTCCTCCCTCCCATGTCCACTCAGGTAGAAGGGCCCGCAGAGTGTCAGCTCTTGGCCTGCACGCAGCCCCAGTGTGAGACAGTTCCCAGCCTCACCTTCTGTCCAGTTTGTCTTGAGCCATTCTTGAGCCCTTGCTGTGGCCATCTGCTGGAAAGAGGTTCAGAGCTGCCAGCTGTTCAGCTGAGGGGAGCCCTTGTGGCAGCACAGGTCACCTTCTTAATCTGTGTCACCTGCCCTGGCCCTCCGGCTGGAGTGACCTGGACGTGTGGACCAACAACTCCTCAGATGTCGCTTGGGGATCTGAGTGGAGGCATAATCCAAGATGCCCGTTCTTTCTGCCTTTCCTCAGGATGAAGGCTTTGAAGACAGGTGGTCACCAGGGCCTGGGGTGGGGACAGCCTGCTGCTGTCTCCCGCCAAGCCCGGCCTCGGGCCACCTGAGCTTTGTTCCTAGCCTGAATGACAGTGCCTTGGAAAGGCGGGCTCCATGGGCCATCCCTCTGCTTCCTCCAGGGAGGGCCTCTGAGGGCGGGGCACAGCAGTCAGCCTGCCGGATGGCACGGTGACCCCACGCCTCCCTTCATCCATCCCCTCATGGGCCTCTTAAGCAAGCCCACTGACCTAGGAGATGGGCTCCATCACGGGCCCGGGGCAGGACAGGGAACAGGCTGCTGCCAAGGCAGGCAGAGGCCTAGGCGATGCCCCCAAAGGCTGAGCCAGTGTCCCAGCTGCTTGGAAGGAGGCAGTGCCCTTCTCCATCCAGGGCACCTGCTTGCAGAGTGCAGCAAGGCCTGGAGTGGGCACTTGAGGCTTCAGACCCCTGCGTTTCCTGAAGCAGGGTCCAGGGAGAAGAGGGACTGGAGTCTGGCCAGCAGGCAGTCCTGTTTTACTTGCCTTAAAACTGGAGAGGAACCTAGTATTTGCACTTAGCAAATGATTGAAAAACAGGAAAAGTGTGCATGATTTGTCACTTTGTATAAAAATGATTAGCTCATTCCATTCTGTTCATTACCTTCAGGTAGCAAAAATAAAATAGTTCTGTTCAAACTACTGTGTAAGAAGCCTGTATCATATGTAACTTGCACTTTTTGTAAATAAATGTTTGTGCGCTCTTGTTGCTCTGGTCTGTTTCTCACACAGCTAGCAGCCCTCCGCCTGGAGAGGAAGGGAGGGCCAGCCAGCAGAGGGGATCAGATCTGGAGCACCAAGTCTGTGCAGCTGCCCCTCCCCACAGTGGGTATGGAACACTCTCCAGTCCCAGAAAGCATCCCACAGGCCTCCGCGTGGGCAGACACCTGCCCGGGTCTGGGGCCACAGCCCCCCATGGCCCGTGAGGCAGCCCTGGGTGTTGAGGCAGCCCTGGGTGTTGAGGCCTTGGGAGGAAGCACTGGCCAACTGCCGACCACAGGTGGCATAGAGCTCACACACCACGAACTGTGTCTCCTGCTGTTCATGACTGCTCATCGCAGTGAAGCCTCTTAAATATTTGGTCATGTTTTATTTATTTGAAAGAGTGATGACACCTGTTCATTCATTAAATGCCCTAAGAGCTGAGGCCAGACGGGGCCAAAGCCAGAGTCAAGAGCTCCATGTGGGTATCCGGAAGCGAAGTGTTTTGACCAGAAGCTGCCTCCCCTGATGCGTTAGTGGTAAGTGGGGTTGGAAGCAGAAGCAGGACTCAGATACGGGAGTCGAAGTGCCTCAAATCAGGGACTTCCCCACAGGGCAGCACCTGCCAGGTGAGTGGGCATCTCGGAAGGGACTCCGAGCCCTGCGTGGCCACCTGCTTCCCTCAGAACAGCCCTGTGCTGTGCTCCCAGCCGGCGTGCCTTTTCTGTGCTACCTGTTTCTTTGTGTAGATTTGCCATGTGTCAGACCACTGTTGTCACTTGAGATGCCTGCTGTGCTGGTGCTACCACAGTGCCGTAGCCAAGGGCTCCTCTCACCAGCCTGGGATGTACGTAGGGCAGGTGTCAGTAGCAGAGTCTGTTGTGCGGGTCTCTATGCCTCCTGGATATTCTGCAGGATTTCCATCCTGCCAGAGCCCCACTCACAGATAGAAGCCCAGCCCAGGCTGTGGGCCTGCCCAAGGTGCTGTTTGTGTCTGCTTTCTTTTTTTTAATTTATTTTGTGATGTTATTTGCATAGTTGAGAGAGATATGTACCCATGTGGACCATTATAGGGCAGGGAGGGTCGAGGTATGGGGGAAAGTGGATGAGACAGCTGATTTTTTTTTTCCTTCCTGTATCTGGGAGAAGCAGGGTGAGCCCAGCAGCCTAACTGCTTTAATACCTGGGCATGGGGGACAGCCTTCCCAATGTGGAGCGTGTCCCGAGGGTGCAGCCTAAGTGGTTTCACCCACATACTTGCTGTCAAAGCTTGGCCAGCAGCGTTGGCCAGATCTCCCCCCATGGTACTCAGTGTCCTCTGCAGACCTCAAGGTCTGTCCTGCCCACCGTGTGCATCTGGACATGCCTTGCACAGTTGCTGCAGTAACAGGAGCTCCAGTTCTGACACTTGCACTCCACGGTCAGACCTCAGACCCCGTGGTTTCCCCATGGTTGGAGAGGTCCAGCAGTTCGGTCGGGGGTGGTACTCAAACTTGGCCAGATGTGACTGCAGACCTGACTCCTGTGTGTGCCAGTTAGCGTGGGGTCCCACTCAGTCCATCACCCACATCAGCCTACATATACACGGGGTGGTTACAGTCATCCGGTCAGTTCTGTCCCCAGTCCCAGCCCTGCCCTCCACACACCAGAGAACTGCAGCCGTGTCAGAGTGACCCCCAGTAACCACTACTAGCAAGGACCAGTGCCTTTCCTGTGCGTGGTCCTGCTCTACCTCCCCACCGCCACCTCCAGCCGAGAACAGGACCACCACGGTGTCCTGCCAGCACCGTCCTCCCGTCGCTCGCCACTCACAGTGGCTTCATCTTGCAGCAGCTCCAGCGCAGGTCTCACAACCGGCTCCTCACAGGGCAGGAACTAGCCACAGCCAGCCTGAGCCGAAGCCTGGCCACTGGCTGCCACCCCAGCTAGCCCCCATCCCCCGCCAGGCACCCAGTCACCTTCCTGAGTCTGCCCAGTGCTGTGGAGTGGCCCAAGTAGCTCTGTGTGTACCCCCCGGACTGTCCAGGCCTCTCCAGCCTGCAGGGCACACGTGACAGTGCCCACTGGGCACTCTGCTCCTATGCCTGCTCTGCCATGCCCTGGCTCAGCACCATCCCTGGTCCTTACTGAAGGGAAACCAAAGCAACTCAAGTCTTCTGGGTTGTTCAGGCAGTATCTGTTGGTAGAGTAAGTGTTGTGGGGGCTGGTGGTGTGGCACAGTACATTTAGCCACCCCTGTGATGCCAGCACCCCATGCCAGAGCCATGCTGCAAGCTCCAGCTGTTGGGTTTCTGATCCAGCTCCCTGCTGATGCACCTGGGAAAGCAGCAGAGATGGCCCAAGTGCTTGGTGCCTGCACCCCCGTGGGAGACCCAGACGAAGCTCCTGCTCCAGCCCACCCCAGACCTGGCTCTTTGGGGCTTCGGGGGAATGTACCAGCAGAGGAAACAGTCTCACTTGCTCTCTGCCTTATCTTCCAAAGATACAGTCCAGGGCCCAGCACAGTAGCCTAGTGGCTAACATCCTTGGAAAGCAGACAAAGGCCCAAAGCCTTGGGACCCTGCAACCACATGGGAGACCGAGGGGGCTCCTGGCTCCTGGCTTCAGGTCGGCTCAGTTCCGGCCATTGCAGCCTCTTGGAGAGTGAATCAGCAGACGAAAAATCTTCCTCTCCTCCTTCTACATCTAAGAAAGATTCAGAGTCCAACCCCCTCCAGACGTGGTCCTGGGTCTCCCAGAAGCCAGTGTGCTGCCACCCATCGCAGGCACCCTCAGCCAGGTGGTGACGGGCAGTGCCTGCCACAATATCTGCACCAGGCAGTCGTGCACCACCGCAGGCTCACCCCTTGAACTTGAGTGGGCATTCCAACAGCCCTAACCGGAGAGCAGCAACAGCAGCGCCAACTATTAAGTAAAATGCCTCACCCTTGCCCCTGGTTTTGGAGGGGCACCTGTTCTTGGGGCCCAGCTGCCAAGCCGTGCTAGCCCCACACACAGACCACACAGAGACGTCTCAGGCCGGCATCCCAGCCACCACCCACCGATGTCCCCGCGCAGGCCAGCGGACAGGTAAGGGATGGCGCTGAAGATGTTCCCGGCCTCCCGAGGTGAACTGCCCCACGCTGTGCCCTCCTCATCCTTCCAGAGGCATTCTGGGATTCCTCCGGCCCCTGTGCTGGCTGACGAGTTCCTGGTTCCCTGGATTAGATGCCTTTATGCCTGCGACCAGGATCTGAACCCCAGCTGGCACCGGTGAGTCAGGATGGCAGGTGGGCGGGCCCTGAGGCCCAGTCCTTCCCACAAGGGTTAATCCATCACCCTCCTGCAGACACCCAGGCTGGAAGAAGGCTGACTTGGGGAGCAGCCCTACCCGTATATCCAGACCCCCACACTGCCCTGGGGCACTGCAGGTCTCCCAAAGTGGGTAACGGACCCTGGGATACCTGCCTGGAGCTGCCCCTGCTTCAGACTAGACCCAACACAGGATCAAAATGCAGGCGCCATCGGTGATCTGGCACCGTGGGCTGTGACCCTGGGAGCTCACAGTATGCGCCATGGCCCGTGACTCCACTGCCTGGTCCCAGTGTGGGGACGAGTTCCCACACACAGCAGCACCCGAGGCCACGCGCATGGCAGCTCTAGACATACAGCAGCATAGTGGGAGGTCCTGGTGGTGACCACGGCTGTGAACATAGGGCAGGGTGGGTCCTCAGAAGGTCGCAGAGTGACCTGGCCACCACTCCCACCCTGGGCACTCTCTGCAGGCATGGAGGAACTGTGTGTCTCATCTCCCAGCAGGGTCCCAGCGCAGTGGCCTAGCAGCTGAAGTCCTTGCCTTGTATGTGCTGGGGTTGCATATAGGTACCAGTTCATGTCCCAGCTGCTCCACTTCCCTTCCAGCTGCCTGCCCGTGGCTTGGGAAAGCAGTCGAGGACGGCCCAAAGCCTTGGGACCCTGCAGCCACATAGGAGACCTGGAGGAAGTTCCTGGCTTAGGGTTGGCTCAGCTCCAGCTGTTGCAGCCACTTGGGAAGTGAACCAGACAGACAGAAAATCCTCTCCTTTCTATAAACCCAACTTTCCAATAAAGATAAGCAAGTTTTGTCTCGCAACAGCCATTAGTTGGGACAAGGGACGCTGTGTCCTGACCACTCAGAGCAGAAATCCCCACCGCGGTTCCTGAGCACTTGGACCGGAGGACAGTCCCGAGAGACAAACACGCACTTCTGCTTGTAAGAGGTACCAAGAGGCAGGCGGAGTCACCTTGAGGTGCCCACTTCCGACATGGGAGCATCCGAGTCCCCAGCTCAGCGGGTGGCTAGGATAAAGGGCTGGGGAGACCTGGATGGAGCTCCTGGCTCCTGGCTTCAGCTCAGTCCAGCCCTGGGCGGATGGGGCAGGTGAATCCTGGGTTTCTCAGCCCTGTCTCCCCGTTTCCCTCCCTGCACTTCGGAGGATCACTTGGGGCCTTGAGTGCTTGTCTGTGGCATGGCCCCATTGCACACAGCCAGCCTCCTTTGTACCATCACCTGTTTCAAGTCAAGGATTCATTCATTCCATCTGTGCACTGGTTCACTCCTTTTGGTGTCTCTCGGTTCCCTCTGATTTCCTGCCTGTCTGCATACGGTGCAGACTCCTCGTGGCGACAGCAGTGCCAGCAGCAGCCCAGCCCTTGCCCTGACCATGGCTTCCCTCCTTCCTCTACCTCTCACCTCCTGCTGTCGGGCCTGGGTCCCAGGGACAGGCACAGGGAGAGGGGATTGTCACTCGGGCAAATCCTGGGCCCTGCCACCCCGGGTCAGACCCCTTCCTGTCTCAGAGGCCCTCCCCAATGCAGACACCTGTCGCTGCAAACCAGGGACACCAGAACTCAACTGTCCATTGCTCAAGTGGACACACGGAGGCCGGACTGGCCCACGAGGGTCCAGGTGGAGTGGCTGGTGGTGCCCCCTTCCCAGCCGTCCCCACCCTACTGGTGAGAATAGCCAGGACTAACTAGAGGAGGGCCCCAGCACACACTGCCCCTGTCCCAGAGCAGCTAAGGGAGAAGGTGTGAGCACGGGCCAGCCCACCTCCCTCAACAGGGAGGGGACTGCTCTGCATGGACCAAGTTTGCGAATTCCTCCAAGCAGAACCCATCCCCACATGACTGCATGCTTGTCCAGGCAACCAGGCACACTGGGGCCTGCAGAAGGAACCAGAGTCAGGCAGCGCATAGCCCCAGGGCCGGGGCCCCTGGGTGAGGGATAGGCATTGCGGGGTTGTCCCCTCCCCCAGGTTAAGGCGCTGGGCCTCAGGCATCCATCTGTGTCACTGAGATTTTCCTGGCTTCGAGAAGGGCTGTAATGGGGGTGGGGGCAGCCTGCTGGGGACCCAGCATCCCTTTGTGGTGGCCATCTGCCTCTGTCAATCTCCAGACCCCCGCCCCCAGGGGCCACGAATCACAGCGAGGGCCTCCCCATTGCGTCATCAGCAGCCAATCAACACCGCCCAGAAGTCAGCCCGGCCCCTTCCCTCCTGGGCTGGGGCCATTTCCTAGGGTCTCTGGCCTCTGGAATCCTCTAGGAGTGAAGTGAGCCTTCTCCCCAGCACAGCAACATGGTCAGCTGGTCTGGGCTCCATCTTCTGTCAGGCTCTGGGAACTCCAGAAAGTTCCTATGGGTTGGGCTCCTGTCCAAGCTTCTCCCCGACATCCACCCCGAGTTCCCTAGTCCAGGAGCCCCTGCGCAACAAGGAACACAGACCACAGCCAGCAGAGGTACAGGGGCACCCCGGCCCCACTGTCACATTCCCCAGCTCAGGGCAGGGCACTCTACCCCCGCCCCATACACACAGACAAGCTGCCAACTGGCTGTATTTTATTTTGCTCTTTCCAGTTTGACGCTAACTATCATGGGCATTTGGAGTTATACAAATGACACTTAGAAAAAATAAAAGACCAAGACACCCAAAGTGAGATGCAGGGCATTGGGGGGTGGGGCAGGGTTAGAGGGGCAACAGGCAGGGCAGGGGTGAGCTCTGGGACTCCCAGCCTCACCCCACCCCGGAGACCCCCAGGGATCCAGTCAGAGTGGTGGAGCACCAATCCAGGCAGGGCTCTGGCTAGGGCTGGACGGGCCCCAGAATGGGAGAAGGAGGCAGAGCAGAGGGCGAGGCGAGTGCCCGGGACCCCCTGCCCACCACTCACCCCTACAGTTGGGTTTGCCCAGGGCACCTCCAAGGGTAACACATCACTTAAAAAAAAATACTGATTTGGTCATTTTCCGCTTCCAGTCAGGCCAGGGTGAAAGGAGAGGGGGAGCACGGGGCTCCCCGCAAGCCCCAGCACCCAGGATATGAGGCGGGCACCCACAGGCCCAAGCTGGGCCTGTGCAGCGGGAAGGGCTATACTCCGCCCCACCTGGAGGCACCTCTCCTGATGCTGCCCACAGGCCAGGGGGCCGAGAGAGCGTGCGGCTAGGGAGGGCTCCCCATTCCAGTTTTGGGCCCCGCCAGGCCTGGGGGCTCAGGAGGGGAGGGCATCCCACTCCAGGGAACTAAGGCTCAGAGACGACTGAGGTCAGAAGGAAGAGATGCTGGCCCCGCCCGCGGCAGAGAGGACCAGAGGACCACAGGCGGGGCGGGGTACACAGGGAGCAGCAGGTGGGGGCACTGTTCTCTCTGGGGGTTCCAGTTTGAAAGGCAAGGGGCTCCTCAACCTGGGGGAGGGAGTTGGCAGGAGGGTGGGTCTGGAGGAGGCCCCTGGGTGGGGGACCCTAGTACTCCCACAGGGAGGCGGGGTCCACGGCGTCGGCACAGGCCTTGAGGACACCCGCGTGGTCCCCCTTCAGGTAGCGCCCGCCCACCTTGATGGCCACCTTGTTGTAGTCACAGAACTCGAAGAAGAAATCCACGGGGCTGTCGCTGCTGCTGGTGACCGAGGAGTCGCTGCCCACTGTCCAGTACTTGCCCGTGGAGTCTGCGAGGGGAGCCCAGGCTGCTCAGGGCGGGCCCGGCCTCCCACCCTGCGGACTCCCACCCTGCGGCCTCCCACCCTGCGGCCTCCCACCCTGCGGCCTCCCACCCTGCAGCACGGAATTCAGCCCCTCCCCCAAGAGCCCCCCTGCCTGGCCAGCCCAGCAGCACCACCCGCCCCGGGGGGATGAGGGGGACAGGACGGGGACCTGCCTTTGATGTTGTAGGCGCCATCATTGAACTCCAGCTGGAAGACATCGTAGTTAGAGCGGTTGGCATCCAGGGTGCCCGTGACTTTCCGACAGCCGATGAAGCCGTGCTCCCCGCGCAGCACGATGATGGGCCGGTTGATGAGTTTCATGAGGAAGAGCTCGGCATCCCCTGGGGAGGGCAGGACGGGGGGCACCCATGAGCCTCATGACAGTGGGAGAACAGGCAGGGCCGGCGGTGCCTGTGAGCCCCCCAGGCTACCTGCTGTCTCTACGGAGGCGGCCAGCTGCCCGTTCTTCTTGGCAGTCACAAACTTGCCATTGGAGGCCCGCAGGGTGATGCGGCGATCACGCCACTCGATGTCAAAGTAGCAGCTGGCATTCCTGGGAGGAGGGGTGGAGGGCGCCAGAGCAGGGTTGGGAGGGCCGCCCCAGGTGTGTGTGCTGGGGGCGTGCTCAGGAGGTGGCGGGGGGTACTCACTTGGTGGATGCGGTGGACTGCACGCCCCCAGTGGCCGTCAGCGTCCAGTACTTGCCCGTGTGGGTGCGGAAGGCGCACTTTTTGGTGTCGCGGTCGATCTCCAGCTGGAAGGTCTCCTGGTCCGTCTCTTCGTCCTGATTGGCCGACAGGTCCATCCCTGGGAAGAGAGTGAGCTGTGTCCCCAGGCTGCCCGGCCACCGCTCTGCCCTCGCATACCAGCCACGACAGGGGCCGCAGTGTGCCAGGCAGGAGGCTCGGTGTGGCCCGGGGCAGCATCACCAGGAGGACTGATGCAGGGGTGCTGCGGGCGTGGGCACCGCCACGGGAGGGCTGTGCCCGACATCCACCCGAAACACCAGCGCTTCCTGCCTCTGTGGGTACCAGGAGCCCTTCCAAAAAACTTCAAAGACATGCCACCCTCCCCCCACCGCCCCCTTCCCTGGGTATTTTTGCTCCCTGAACACACGTGCCTTGCCACAGCTCTGCACTCGCCGACGCTCACGAGTCTCCTGTGTCATGGCATGATCCCTCCACGCAGCCCCCACAGGAGCTATTCTCTGCAGCCACGTGGGCCTGCACATCCGTGTGTGCACACACAAACTCCACACACACATATTCAAACCCAGGGCGGGGCCTCTACTCCCCACAGAACCCGGTCACCTCCCCCCAAATGCCCCTGGCACCAGCTCCAGCTCTGCTGGCTGCCCTCCTATGCCCATCTGGGCACCTGCCACCAGCAGGGACTGCAGTCCTGAATGGCAGGTGTCCTGTCACGGATGGAAGAGGCTGCCGGGGACAGAGACTGCTCTGCAAGGGCTGACACTCAACTCTACCACACCCATCCCAGAGGACCCCCCAGTAAGCCCTGCCTGCCTCACAAAGCAAGCAGCTGAAGCCAGACAGTGCCAGATCCTTCCCTAAGGTCACCCCAAGAAAGCAAGGGGTGCCAGCGACTCTGGGAGAAGGCAGGGACAGACTTCCCTCACCCACCAATCCTGCCATGCACAGCGCCACAGGTAGGCCCTCAGGGTCAGGGGCACCCCGAGATGCTGCTGGGGAGTCAGGCTCAGGCCACCACTCCCTTCCCAGGACACAGCTCAGGCCACTAGGATGCCACCCCCACAAGCCACCTGCACTGCTGAGCCAGCAGCCAGGCGGGCCACCTTGCCCCAGGGCCCTGGCAAACCACCCACCCAGTGTCTGAATGGGGCCACGGGGAGGAGCCCCACTGGGTCCCCTATGGCAGGAGGGTAGGCAGAGTGCTTAAAGAGAGGCAAAGACGCCAGCACAGCCAGGTCCCCTCCTGGGCGCCCAGAGCTCACCAGCTGCCCAAGCACTGATGAGGGGCAAGGGGGCAGCAAAATGAGGCTCCCGGGACAGGGAAGGCCTCCCCAGAGGGAACCTGCTACAGCTCCTGGCTCTGCTGCCCACCCGGGCGGCCTCAATTGAGGTCCAGGTGGGGCCAGGTCCTGGACATGTGGGCACGTCGGGGAGCTGCCTCAGTCCAGACAAAGGCAGACTTCCGGCTGCTCAGCAGCGCAGCCACTGACTGTGCCATGGAGAGACTAACCTGTGCCACCCCTGCCAGGGATGCCGGCAGACCCCAGCTGCCTGGCACGTCCAATCCCAAACTGCTTGAATGCCAAGATCCAGACCAGTGGCTTCCTCATACTGCCTCAGTTTCCCTGCCTGTCATGAGGGTCCCTGCCACTGCAGGCCCTTCCACCCCTACAAGCAAGCAGTGTGTACTCGAGAGGACAACCGCCAACGGGGCTCCAAGCCCCTGCCAAGGCAGGCAGGGCCCCACTTAGCCTTGCAGCCTCTAATTAGGGCCCCGTTTCCCTGGGAACGAGGCTTTCACTGGGATTTTTCTTCCCCTTACTGGCAACCCAGAAAGCCTGAGTCACAGGCCTGCATGGCCTGGGGGGCCCATGGCACTTCCCATCCCTGCCAGAGCCTAGGAGAAACTGGAGTCCTGTCCTCCCCACCCCCGCACCAGGCCCCCAGCTTCCAGAACATTCTTTACAGCAGCCCCATCCCCAGGTCCCACTTGGGGAGGATCCAAACCTCCTATCCCTGTCCCCCAGCTTGCCCAACCCCCATCTCTCTGCACCCTCACCAATGAGCCACGGATGGGGGGGCAAGTGGTCTGGCTGGAGCCAGGGCCTTGGAGAGGGTTCTGAGGGGCAGGAGACCCTCTGGGCACCAAAGCCAGCACACTCACAGGAGCTAAGCTGGGACGCAGGCTCCAGGCCCCTTGGCGCCCCCACCCACCAATGGGAGCAGGCCTGCAAGGATGACTCACATCCCCCCAGCACGGCAGGCTGCGCTCCAGGACCCTCCCCGCCTCTCCGGCCTGACTTTCCCAACGTGTGCAGGGCAGCGAGCACCGCCTCCTTGCCACGCAGGCCTGTCCAAAATGGCCCCGGCGGACACGCCCCCTCCCCAGGCCCGCCTGGGGTCTCCAGCTCCCCTAGGTGGAGGGGTGAGGAGGGACGAAGGCAGGGCCCTGGGCTCCGCCCAAAGGGTCCCCTCCCCACTCCCATCCCTTTGGACTCTGTGGATGAGCCAACACCCCCTGGGCTCCTATTTCCTGCCCCTCCTGCCCCCTCAGCCTGAGTCACCACCAGGAGCTGAACAAGCCTTCCCAGAGAAGGGGCACTGCCCGGGCTCGCCCCAAGCGGCTCCTGCCCCAGTCCCAGGGGCCACAGCCACCTGTGCCTGCCCTTTCCCCAGGGAACCCCACTGTGCAGGCAGCCCGGCCGCAGGGGAGCCCCTGGCACCTGCGTCCCGCCGCCTCAGGGCCTTGGCATGTGCTGTGCCCTCCCCCCAGGCCTCCCAGGGTCCTCCTGGGAAAGCCCCAACCCTCTCCACTACAGCTGCGGACCCCGGCCTCCCGCCGTCTCTTCCCGGCCTCAGCCAAGGCCTCAAGGACACGGGCTGTGCTCATCTGCCACTCACACCTCAGCAAGGGCCCCCAGCCAGCCCCCCACAAGCGGGGCTTTGCAAAGGAGGGGCGCGCAAGCCAGGAGGAAAGCGGAGGTGGGGGAGCTCACTGCACGGGCCGGTCGGAAACAGCTCTGCCGGCTGGAGGCCCCGCAGGGCGGGATCGCGTTGCAAACCAATTGTTCCCGGAGAGAGAGCCCTTGGGGACGGGTTCACGCTAGGGCAAGAGCTTCCCGAGGGAGCCGGGCTGGGGTCTCGGGTTCGCGCCCAAGCCGCCCTCGAACGCCCGTCGAGCGGAGCGCACCCGGCGGGGAGGCGCGCGCGGCAGGCGCAGGGCGGGGTGCCTGGCGGGCGGCCAGCGGCGCCTCGCCAGTCCCGGGTCCGGCGCGACGGGAGGCCGGGAGCCCCCCGGCCCGGCGCCGGCCCTAGGGACGGAGCGGCGGGGGTCCGGGCGGGGGGAGGCTCCTGCTCCGGGGTGGGGGCGCTAAAGCCGTCCCCTCCCCCGCCCCGCCGCATCTGGTTTCCCCATCTGCAGAGGCCGAGCAGGACAAAGGGGGCGAGGGAGGGCCCAGGCGAGGCGACCCGCCCCCTGCTCACAAAGGCCGCGGCCTCGGGCGCGGGGCGGACGCGGGGGTTGGGGGGCAGGGCGGATTCGCAGGGCGACCCCCGGCAGCAGCCCACCCCGACCGCGGCGGGAGGAGGTGGAGGAGCGCATCGCAGGGATCGCCAGCCGCCCCCTCCCCAGTTGGAGAGAAAAGCCCCGCAGCCCGGGGTCGGGAGCGGAGAAAGGCGGGCGCGCGCGCACACGCACAGCGCCCCCTCCCCAAAGGGCCGGGGCCGCCGATCCGTGGGACCCGCGCGTGCAGGACGAGGGAAGGAGGCTCCCCGGAGTGGGCACAGAGCTCCCGGGTGGGGTGGGGGAGGTGGCGCCCCCTCCCCGCCCGGCGCGCGCGCCCCCGAGGACCCGCAGAGCAAACCCCACCCCTCCGGGAAGGCGGCGGCGGCGGCGCGGGCCGCGCTTTGTGTCCCCAGCTCCCGCCGGGCGCCCCGCACTCACCCTGGCGCGTGGACACGTTCCTCTCGTTGGCCGCCTGCAGCACGACCTGGGCGCAGCTCTGCTCCAGCGCGAAGAGCTCGTCCTTGCCCACCTTGGTGGCCTTGCCGGCCTTGAGCGTGCCGCTGGGGCCCGACGGCGCCAGGTAACGGCCCTCGCAGTCGCGGAAGGCCACCTTGCCCGAGCGGAACTCGAGCGTGTAGCCGGTGGCGGGCTCGGGGCGCGCCACGAGGCGGCCGTCGTGGCGCAGGAAGCGGTGGTCGGCCGTCTGCACGCTGTAGCGCTGGTCCTGGAAGGCGAGCGTGATGAGCGAGTCGACGCCCCAGGGCACGTCGCGGTCCACGGCGATCTCCTCGGCCGGCCGCGCGCTCAGGTGCGCGTAGCGCTTGCGGGTCAGGCTGTAGATGTTGACCTGCGGGTGCATGGCGATGTGCACGCTCCACTTCTCGGCGGGCGACACGCTCTGCGCGAAGCACGACAGGCGGTCCTCGGTGCCGCCGAAGTAGCGCCGGTGCGCCTCGGACTGCAGCGACCAGCGGCCGTCGTCGTGCGCCACGACGAGGAAGCGGCAGTCGGCGTCGGGCGCCTCGCGCTCGCAGCTCACGTTGCCGTCCTTGTCGGCCGCCAGGTAGCGGCCCAGGTGGCTGCGCAGGCACACGGCCGCGCTGCCCGCCTCGTCGGGCGGCTGCTCCAGCGTCCAGATCTGCTTCTTCTTCAGGCTGCTGGCCGACGCGTTCACCTTGAAGCCGAACGCCTCGGCCGTCAGGTACTTGTTGCCGCAGTTGATGAGGCCGAACTGGATCTGCACCGCCTCGGGGGCCGTGCCGTTGGCGGCCATGGCTGCGCGGCGCTGCCCGGCGCTGCCCGGGGACTGCTGGCGGTGCCCGCGGTGCCCGCGGCGGCGGCGGCGCTGCTGCCCGCGCCTCCCCGCGACGCGCGCCTCCTTTGTTCGCGGCGCGGACCCCGCGCCTCCGCAGCCGCAGCGCTCCACAAAGCCGGCCCTGCCGCGCGCGCCGCTTTATAGGCGGGCTGACGTCAGCGCCGCCGGGCCCCGCCCCGTCCCGCACGCGGCCCCGCGCGCGCCCCCCGCCTCCCGCGCCGGCCGCCCCTTTCCCGCGCGCCCCCCGAAGCCCCGCGCCCCGCCGCCGACCGGCCCTGGGGACCCCGATGCCGAGCGGCGGGGCTGCCCGGAGGAGGCGGCGCTGGCGCCCAGCCCGCCTGCAAGGCCCCGGCCCGGTGGCCCACAGACCCCCAGGACGCCGGCTCCGCGGGGTCCTTGCAGCCTACCCTCCCCCGCCGGGGCCGCTGCCCCCGGAGGCCTCCTGCCCGCTGCCCCGCTGCCCTGTGACCCCCGTCCCGAGGAGCCCCAGCGCCGGGCCGGCAGGGCAGGGCAGGATCCGCGGCGCTGGGGCCAGTCCCGCGGACAGACGGCCCCTGGCCGGGCGCTGTGGCCGCCCCAGCTCTCCGTGCACGCAGCGCCCCCCACCCCGTGCCCACCACCCACGCCCCCTGGCTGCCCGCTGAAGGAAAGCCCAGGCTTTTTCTGGGGACATTCCCTACATGCCAGCACGGCCACCGGCTGCCCACAGGGACTCGGCCAGGCCCTTGCCCGCTGCAGGCAAGGGGCCCGAGCTGGCCGAGTCCTCCCTTGACCCCAGACAAACCCCTCAAGAGACACCCCCCATTGCCCACACCCCCAGCCTTGCCTGGCCCTGGGAGCCCCTCCCACAGTGCCCACCCTGTTCAGATCCCGGAAACCCAGATCTTCCTGCGCAGGTCATCCAGGGTCATGCCATCCTAGGTTTGGAAACCCGGGGCACCTTGCTGGGCTGTGCCTCTCTGGGTAAGTTACCACACCTCTCTGGGCCCGATTCCTTCCCTGGTCCCCGTCTCAAGCTGGGAAGAGCAGAAAGCCCAGGCCTGGCTTCTAGCCTCAGGGGTGTGCTGGGGCGTGGGCAGGGGCCCTGGGGGGGACAGCCAGGCCAGCGTCGCAGCACGGCAGGTGGCTGGCTGTGGGACAGTGGCCACAGACTCCTGGGGCACGCGCAGTGCCTGGTGACGGGGACCTGTCAGCCTGTGCCTTTCGGTGGGCTGGGCAGGGGACAGGTGTGCCGACCACCGGGCCTCAAGCCGGCCTTCCCTGGTGAGGTGTTTGCTGTGCCAGCTGCACACCCCCCAGGCACGGATTCAGATAGGAGAGAGCAGGAGGGCCTTGGGCTGCCGCCCCTGTGTTTGGGCTCTCGGGGTTGTTGACATTTTTGTGTCTTTAAAGACACAATTGTAGCCTTGTCTTGTTCTGTTTCAAAGGTTCTTTTCCTTCTCTGTTTTGAGAGAAAAAGGAAGAGAGACCCATCCACTAGTTCACGCCCCAGATGCCCACCGTGGCCATGGAGGGCGGGGCCAGAGGTGAGCCAGGAGCTTCATCTGGGCCTCCCATGGGGGTGACACAGGGACCCCAGTGCTGGTGTTGGAGCTGTCGCCTGCTGCCTCGCAGGGTGAGGGTTGGGGGCCCCTGAACAGGACACTGGACTCAGAAGCAGAGCCGGGACTTGAACAACCCACAGCAGGGTAAGCACGACCCCAGGGAGAATTCCAGTCCTGTGTCCTGCGGGGACACGCCCGAGGCTTCCTCAGCCTGACAGCTGTGTGATATCCCTCGGGTCTCGGGGGCATTGATGCTGCCACTCTGCCCTGGCCAGGACCCTGTGCCACACTCCTTCGCCGCGTCCTCTGGTCAGCGCCAGGGCAGGCCCCACAGCTGCACTTCCGCTCCGCCTTGCCAGCCCCCAGGAGGCAGAGGTTCGTGGTGGAGGGTGGGTGACTGCCTGGGTGTGGGCACAGCACAGCAGGGGAGGCCTGCAGGTGGCCCCCGTGGGGAGGAGGCCCAGCTCGGCATAGACACCCAAGCCACGCCCGCTGTCCCAGAGTCCATCAGGTGGCCCTCAAAACCTCGGGTCCCCAGAGGGTGGGAAGGACGCTGTGTGCCCTGCCCCCTAGGGACCCCACGTGCCACCTGAGCCACCCTGAACCAGGGCACAGCCTGGGCAGAACTGAAGGGAGTGGCTGGGCCACTGGCAGCCAGAGCCTGAGGCTGGCTAGGGACGGGGCTGGGCAGCTCGGGCCCTGGAGGCTTCAAGCAGCGGTGCCCACTGCCTCTCCCAGCCTCAGCTTCCCTTCCTCTGGGGGAAGACAAGTGTGGCCAGCCCAGCGTGCACAAGCAACACGGTGTAGAGGTAGTGACAACCAACTGTCTCTGGTAGCTGGGCCCATGAATGGTGTCTTTGTTGTTCTGCGGGCCCAGCCATCACCTCAAGGAAGGGTCCTCTCAAAGCTGCCTGGCACGGCCGGCACCCCTCAGGGAGCCCCAGGGTGCAAGGCACTGACCACGGGGCTTGGGTGGGAGGGGCTTGCATGCCCCGCAGGGCGCCTGCGCAGTTAGCCGGAGCCTCTAGGGACAAAGCTGCCCCCTCCCCATAGCCATCCGCTGCCGGCTCCCTGCACCAGCCTTTAGGGGCCCAGGCTGCATCTAAGGGAAACCAAGGCTCAGACAAGGCACACAGGATCTGGCACTGGGTGAGGGTGTGGGGGACCAGGCTTGGGGCTGTCAGCATGCTTCCAAAGAGCTCTCTCTGTGCCCTGCCCGACGCTGGCCAAACCTGGAGTCCTGGAGGGCTTCCAGGAGGTGGTGACGCCCCCACCGGGCAGTTAAAAGTCTCTGGAGCTGGAAAAGCAATGCCACCTCCAGCAGTCTCCCATTGCCCAGGCCTGGACCAGCCTCAGGGGGTATCTCTGAGGCCACCTCCCTGGGGCCCCGAGCACTGCAGCACAGCAGACCCTGGTCCCACTCCCAGCCCTGGCGCGCTCCACAAAGCAGGGCGGGGCAGCCATGCTTGGCAAGGGCCTGGTTAATTAAGAGGCCATTAGTGTCCTGGGCAGAGCCTGGCTCCTGCCACCAGGCCTCTGGCAGGAGAGGGGCGCCGGCTGCTGCCAGGCCTTGGCCTTGGCCTCCCCGCCTGGCTACAGCCCAGCCTGGGGCCCTGGGCCCGCCCCGTCACAGCCCCTCGTGCAGCCTTGCCCATGCCCGGGACGGCAGCCTGGCCTTCCCAACGAAAGACCCAATTTTCCCTTCACCCTCCTCCTCTGACTTCAGACATCCACGAGTGCCACCTAAGGCCTTCCTCACCCAGGTCTGGCGTCCAGGGTTCACGACAGGGGTTTGGGCTCATGCCATCCCACAGAACTTTCTAGAAATGTCCTAGAATCTTGTTTGTCCCACACAGGAGTCCTTTGCCATCATGCATAGACATGGAGCTCATGAAGCATGGAAGTGTGGTTGGCAGACTGTGGGTTCTCTCTCTTTCTCTCTCTCTCTCTCTCTAGTGCATATGCGAAAGCCATCTGTGACTCCTGGTGGCCCTACTGGACGCCGACTGTGGACAGCCTGCAGCGGCTACAGGGACATGCTGTGAGCCAGCCCATAAGCTGTGGGTGACTTTGCTTTTTTAAAATTTAGTTTTCTTTGAAAGGCAGAGTTACAGAGAGGAGAAACAGGTCTTATATCCACAGATTCACTTCCCAAGTGCCCGCAACGGCCAGAGCTGAGCCAATCCGAAACCAGGAGCCAGGAGCCTCTTCTGGGGCTCCCACGCAGGTGCAGGGGCCCAAGCACTTAGGAGTTATCAGCAGGGAGTTGAATGGGAAGTGGAGCAGCTGGGACTCGAGCAGGCGCCCATTTGGGATGCCTGGAGGAGCCCGGCACTGCAAGACCAGCAGCTGCCTGGCCGCCACCACCGGCAGGGACATGTGTGGGGTGCAGCCAAGGGGCTTTGGTCCTCTGAGTCATGCAGAGGGGCTGCCCGGCGCTCTGGGAACACCCTTCTTCGGGCTCTGCAGCTTCAACACCAGGAACAGAGACCCGCTTCAGCCAGGGCCACAGCACAGCCACTCACAATGGCGAGAAACAGCGGGAGTTCCCAGGGCTGGTTCCTGGTCCCGCCACCGGGAAAGGCCCTGGGTGATCCCCGCTCCTCCTCACTCGGCAACCAGCCGCAGTTAGTGAACAAGCCGTGTTCTGTCTGTTTCCACCTGAAAAACTAGAAACATCTTAGGGCCAACATCGTACAGCTTGAGCTGCCACCTGCAGTGCCAGCATCCCTTATGGGTCCCGGTTCGAGTCCCGGCTCCTCCACTTCCGATCCAGCTCCCTGCTGATGCTCCTGGGACAGCAGCAGAGGATGGTCCATGTGCTTGGGACTCTGTCCCCCGAGTGGGAGAACCCGGAGGAGTCCCAGTTCCCCCAGCCGGAGAGTGAGGGGGCTGTGTGCGTGGCTCTCTGTCTTTCAAATAAATAAAAATATAGAGCCCAGCGCCGTGGCCTAGCAGCTAAAGTCCTTGCCTTGAGTGCACCAAGATCCCATATGGGTGCAGGTTTTAATCCCGGCTGCCCTGCTACCCATCCAGCTCCCTGTTGTGGCCTGGGAAAGCAGTCAAGGCCCAAGGCCTTGGGACCCTGCACCCGCTTGGGAGACCCAGAAGAGCGTCTGGCTCCTGGCTTTGGATTGGCGCAGCTGCAGCCGCTGTGGTCACTTGGGGAGTGAATCATTGGAAGGAAGAGCTTCCTCTCTGTCTCTCCTCCTCTGTATATATCTGACCTTGCAATAAAAATAAAATCTTTTTAAAAAAAATTTGTTTTTTGCTTTTTTTTTTTTTAATCCACAGGTTGCAAAAAAGGCACTTCTGAAGGGTCAGGGACTGTTTCTTGGGGCTAAGAAAGTTCTGGAAATTGGGCCCGGCGCAGTGGCGCAAGTGGTTAAAGGTCCTCGCCTTGCACGCCCGGGGTCCCATATGGGCGCCGGTTCTATCCCCGGCAGCCCCGCTTCCCTTCCAG